GGCAATAAACAATTAGATATAGAGAAAAATTCCTTTTAGGATAGCCAAAAAAAGGTTAAATACTTAGAAATAAATTTAACAATAAATGTATAAGACTTAGGAAAATTCCAAAACAATTCTGAAGAAAATTTGAACAAACTAAAAGATATTTTCTGTTTTGGATAGAAAGACTAAATATTACAATGATGTCAGTTCTTCCTAAATTAAATTATAAACATGGTGTAATCCCAATAAAGATACCAGAAGTGGCCAGACGTGGTGGCCAACGCCTGTAATCTCAGTACTTTGGGAAGACGAGGTGGGCAGATCACAAGATCCAGACCATCCTGGCTAACACAGTGAAACCCCGTCTCTACTAAAAATACAAAAAATTAGCTGGCCATGGTGGTGTACACCTGTAGTCCCACCTACTCAGAAGGCTGAGGCAGGAGAATCACTTGAACCCAGGAGGTGGAGATTGCAGTGAGCTGAGATCAGGCCACTGCACTCCAGCCTGGCAACAGAGCGAGACTCCGCCTCAAAAAGAAAACCCAGAAATATCTGTTATTTTATGAAGTTAAACAACTTGATAATAGCATATAGCATTCATGTAGAAAACATACAAGATTAGGAAGATTCTGGAGGGAGAAAGAAAGTCTTGAGGGACACTGGGTGCGGTAGTGGGCATGGTGGCTCACGCCTGCAATCCCAGTACATTGGGAGGCTGAGACGGGCAGATCACCTGAGGTCAGGAGTTTGAGACCAGCCTGGTCAACATGGCAAGGCCCTGTCTCTACTAAAAATACAAAAATTAGCTGAGCATGGTGGCAGGGGCCTATAATCCCAGCTACTTGGGAGATTGAGGCAAGATAATGGCTTCAACCTGCAAGGCGGAGGTTGCAGTGAGCCAAGATTACACCACTGCACTCCAGCCTGGGGGACAGAGTGAGTCTCATTCTCCCAAAAAAAAAAAAAAATTATGCGGAAGTGGTAATTTTATCAGATATGCTACGAAGCCTTTATAATTAAAATGGTGGGTAGCAGCTCATGAATAGACAAATAGACCAGTGGAACAGAATAAAAAGTTCAGAGTTAGAGACAAATAACATACAGAAATGTATTATGACACTGTACACAAGAATAATAGATAGAGATCAAAGTATAGGGAATTAAACATACAAACCCTGGTGTATGGTGAAAGGATTTCTGTTAATCAAATCCAGAGGAAATGAAAAGATTGGTAAAACTGACTGCCTAAAAATTAAAATGTTTTCACAACATAAAGTCAAAAGACAGCTGCCAAACTTGGAGAAAATATAACATATACCACAAAGGGCTGATATCTCTAATACATAAGAACCCTTAAAAGTTGAGAAACAATGACCAAAAACCCAATGGGAAAATGAGAAAAAGACATGAACCAGTAATTCACACACAAAAAAGATGAAAACGACTCAGAAACATGAAAAAATGCTCAAACATACTCAAAATTAGAGAAGTGAAAATTAAACCAACACAGAGATACCTGTCAGACTGGCATAAATTTTAATATGTGATACATTCTTTTGACAAGGCTGTGGGAGACAGGTGGGGTTTTTTTTTTTTTTAACATTGCTGATGAGAATGCAGATTGTTAGAACTTTTCTGTAGGGTAAATTTTGTAATACTTAACACAGCTTTACATATATGCATGCTTTTGGTCCCAGCAATTCCACTGCTAGCAACTTATACCACAGATACCCCTCCAACAATATGAAAATGCATGTGTTCAAGGTTATTCCTGGAAGCATTGTAATTGCAAAGTGTTTGAAACACCTTAAATATACAGACATAGGAGAGAAGAGTGTTGAATATGCTATGGGAAATCCACACTGTAATATTTTGCAGCTATAGTAAAGGATGAGGAAGTATTAACTCAGAGTAATTATCAGTACGTTCATTAAGTGAAAAAAGTAAAGTCCCATACATAAAATATGCCACCTTTTATGCAAGAAAGGTGTGCCGGGGTAGTTTATTGGCTCTCATCTTCAAATTTACTTTTTTTTCTGCTCTGTAAAAATGGACCTTGGCTTTTTAAATACTTTTCTCTTGCCAGCTAGTACATTGTTAAGCTTTGTCAGTGAAGGGCATTGGAGAGACCTTTCAGGACTCTCAAGGGTTTTGCTTTTGATCTGGTGTGCTGGCTCAGCAGGATCCTGCGGTGCAGGCTGCTTCCCCAGTTCTCACTCCTGCAATACACTGCAGTCCGAAGCAGCTTTCCCTGCCAACCCCATTTCCCTCCACAGCTCCCCTGAATAGGTTCTCCGGGCGCCATTGAGGGTGGATTTCTAGCAAGATCCACTGATATAGCATTACAGCAACTTCTTTCCCCAGCTCATCTGGATCTCAGTCCTGGGAAGAGAAAAGGACTTGCTTGCACTCTTTCTCAGCCCTGGGGGTAGGGTGCTCCTATTTGCTATTTGTTCCCTTTACTGCTTCCCTGCCAGTTCCTCATTATTCCAGTCCTGTGTTAAAGTTATTGAATCCTTAACCTTTCTTTATTCAAACTGATACTCATTTTTTCCTCCCAGTTGAACTCAGAGTGATACAGAAGGAGAAAGAAGAATATACACAAATATCTGTTTATGTGAACAAAAGAAATGGAAAGGATAAACCGATACTATAGAGACTAATTGCGTGCAGGGATGGGACAGAAAGGGGTGGAAAGAAGGGAGGGAACGGGAAGGTTGTAGGGACAAAGAGGGAGTGACACTTGTGACTCTTAGGATCATAGTGATGTTTCACATACTTTTCGCATACCCCAAATGTAATCAGACAATTAAAACCCACCAGGATGTAGGTGGGGGGAACCCAAAACTGAACTCAAAAACTAAAAAATAAGCCTAGTTATATTACAAATATCTAATTTAACACCACTGAAGAGGGTGGGGAAGAAAGAACTAAAGTCTATATTAAAGCATATCTTTTTTTTGTTTTTTGAGACACTTCATGAATTTGCATATCATCCATGCACCGGGGCCGTGCTAATCTTAACTGTATTGTTCCAATTTTTAAATAATAAAATACTATCAAAAGCACATCGATACAAGAGTGAAGACAGTTCTGTTTATAAGTTAGTGTTTCTCACGGGTATAGGTTAGCAATTCTGTAACTATTTTATGTATTTACTAGAATTGAATAAATAAGTTAATAGGTTGTCAACAATGAAAGCTGGATTACTCACTTGTGGAGAAAGAAGCTTTAAACAAGGAAATGTTGAAAGCTAAAATGAATCCTGTGGTTTTAGTTTGGGATCAGGGTATCAGTATAAACTCATAGTTTTAAATATCTAACAGTAAAATACAGAAACACAGATATTTGTACATGTATAGGTTAGCATTCATATGTATATTTCCCACCTATCTCAGCTGAAAGGCCTAGAAGCAGTGACTCCAGTAATGGTGAGAACTCCTAGAACCCAGATACTGGTCTCTAAACACCTTTTTCCAGTAAAAGAACTACAGTTCTTAGAAGTGGTTGATTCCAGGGATGAGACAAGAAAAACACAGGATGGGCTTTGAGCATCTTGTGGTGCCAAAAAGTAAGGGAATGTTCAAAAAATAAAAAAATAAAAAATTAAAATTTTGAGAGGACTTGTTGCGCTAACCTGAAGGAGCTCCTAATGATTAAAGCTGGAACAATTTGAACAAAATAATGATAGTATTAGATTTTGACCCCAGAATAAAATATCTGTAGGTTCTTACTAATATAAATGATTAAATAAACTAATGGGAGGAAAGTGGTAGGTCTTCCTCAAAGTAGAATTCCAATGAATAAATGTAGAAGAAGGGAAGGTGACAACTGCCATTTGGCATACACCACGGAAATGTTGCAGACAAAACCTATTGATGAATGCTAAAATTCCTGGGTGAAGTTTGAGGAGAAACAAGATTTGAGTAGTGTCAAAGTATCTCCTCCAAAATATTTACCAAGTTCGTAGAAAACAAAGTGTCTTTCTGATAGAGGAACCTGGCAGACAGAAAACAAGGTAAACATCACTAGTAATATGTCATATTAATATCATTAACCTCTTTTTAAAGTTTTTTTACTTTTTATTTTTGAAGGACAAAAATTATTCTTTATTCTTTTGTATTATTACAGTATTATTCTTTCTCTTCTTTTTACACTATAAACTAACATGAACCTTTTGATATGATATACTGAGAAGGACATCATTGTAGTATTCTTACCAAAATTCTAAGTTTGTTCCTATCATGAGGAACTAGCAGTCAAACCCAAATGGAAGGACATTCTACAAAATAACTGATTAGAACTCGTTGAAATTGTCAGGATCACGAAAGATAAGGAGAGACTGAAGAATTTTAACAAACTCAAGGAGACTAAGGAAAAACAACAGATGCCATGTGGAATCCTGGATAGGAATCTGGAACAGGAAAAAAAAAATGAGTAAATTAAAAATTGTGTAAAATTTGAAAAAGGCCTATAGCTAATAATAATGTATAAGAATTTATTTCATGTTCTTGATGATTGTCTCATGATCATGTCAATGTTGACTTAAGGGAAGCTGAAGAAGAGATAGAAGGGAACTTTTTCCTGCTTTTGCTACTTAAAAGTAGTTCCAAATAAAAAGCTGAATGTTGGCCGGGCGCGGTGGCTCAAGCCTGTAATCCCAGCACTTTGGGAGGCCGAGGCGGGTGGATCACGAGGTCAAGAGATCGAGACCATCCTGGTCAACACGGTGAAACCCCGTCTCTACTAAAAATACAAAAAATTAGCTGGGCATGGTGGTGCATGCCTGTAGTCCCAGCGACTCAGGAGGCTGAGGCAGGAGAATTGCCTGAACCCAGGAGGCAGAGGTTGCGGTGAGCCGAGATCGCGCCAT